TACCATGACACAAGGAAAATGAACGGAAGGTTGCATAACCTTCGACAATTACGGGCACTCAAAAGAACCGACGGAAATGGAATATGAGTTCAGCAACTCCAACGTCCGAAGAACGTCAAGAAAGTAAAGATGCAAAAGCAGGGTACACCCCACTCAATGCAGGTAACTAACTACATGTAATTAAAATGGTTACACAGCTATTGTACTAAAACAGAGAACTTTAATACATAAAAGAAATAGAGGAAGATATAAGTGATTGTTGTGATATGGAGGAATAAAACGGGGCAAATATTTGTATTGATCAACAAAAAGCTTTTGATCGAATGGAATGTGATTGGGAAATTCACTGCTTTAAATCGTCCACTGTTGGTAAAATATATTGCAATCGAATTAAAATGTTATTACAATATAACTTTTTCAGAACTTGAAAATAATTTGCAAACACAATACGATAACAGAATCACAAATGAGTTGAATCTTGATACTATTGTACAAAAAAGGAGAACTTGAATGTATGTTAAAAAAAATGGAGACCGCTGAAATCAAAGGATTTCCATGGTTTAAAATTTGGCAAAAATGTTTAAATATACTGATATCTTTAAAAATTAAGGAATTTCAATTGCCGTTCGGAAAACCGAAATGAAATTATACATTTTATAGATTATGTAGAAGCATTAATGGAAAACATTGTTTCTAGACATACTAAATATGTACTAGATACACAGGACAATGTTATACTAGGCTACTCCAGAAATAATGAATTTTCCATATTGATAAAAAAAAAAGTCATTTAAATTATAAAATGGATAATTTTGAAAGGAATGGATGATTAAAAATATAATAACAACCAGCAGGTAGAAATAGAATGGAAGCTAATAGTGAATTATAAAATAAAATTGATTATTGTGATATGGAGGAACAAAAAGGAAAAAGGGACAAATATTTATATTGATAAAAAAAAAAGCTTTAGATAGATCAAAATGGAATTGAGTAAATCACTGCTTTAAAGCTTTCAAATTTGGTAATTATATTACAATTGGATTAAAATGTTATAAGATAATGTCAAAACATGTATTGAAACAAATTATTTCACTTCCAAGTCCTTCCCTATATCCAGGGGAGTGCGTCAGGGATGCCTGATAGCGCGTTAATGAACATAATCCAAACAGAGCCTCTTGCTTGTACTATTCGAGCTAACTCCGTAAAACGTATACAATTACAAATCAAAATATTTCAGAAGTAAAACTTAATGGATTTGCTGATGATCTTCAACATATACACAAGACAGAAGAATCAATAAGAAAGTCTTTTAATATAAAAATATATGAAAAAAGCATCAGGCTCAAAACTTCATTTTGTAAAACACGAGCTAAAAACTAGGGAAACAGCTTTAAGGAGAATGGCAACAACTGGTTCACCCGTTGTCAGTATAATGTGACCGGGCGGAATGCTGTACTTGGTACCTTCGGCATGGCATTTCAGTGAGATAGCACTATGAAGTCGGCATCAGTCCCGCGCTACCACAAGAAGTCAAGCACACCAATATACCCTGTATCCTGCATACTCACACGCAGGCACGCAAGCACGCGTCATTAATAGGACGTTAAACAAAAAGAAATCAAACAAAACCTAGTGAAACGGAAAAATAAAACCATTTTCATTCAAATCAAATGGACCAAAAACTTAATTAAAACTCTAGGAGTCCATCGTGGATATAATATAGACATATGTAGCATATGTAAAGAAAATATTCAAAACTTAGGAACTGCTTACATGTAAAACATAAAAAACCGAACTCTCACTCATAAGGGTAAGGTACTGATTATCAAATCATTGGATTTATGGTAAGCTTGAAAATTGAAGCAAGGGGTATTCCAGAAAAGCACAAGAAAGAAAGAAATTTAAATATATGGGATGGAAAGTTAACCTTCTGAAAGCAACAGTAAATGGTAGAATAAATTTGGTCGATATTGATGTACTTATACAAAATAAAAAATCTTCCTGCAGAATATATTATTACCAATGCTTAACGGCCCTTTAACACAGGATAGGTCGACAAAAAACAAATGCTAAATAAAAAACATGAAGCCAAACTTAAAAGTAAAAGGCAAACGTCTAATTGAATATTCAGAAATTTGATAGATTTTGTAATAAATGTTTCATTTGTTCATGTTCCTGTCTAGAAGGTATTAATTTGAATAACATTCCACAATTTTGTTAACATTGTACTAAATCTTTGTCACGTTTTAGAGCTAGAATCCCAAACAATAGTAAAAGAAAAGTCTTAAACAAGAAATTATTCAGAAATTCAATTTTTAAGGTTAACTCTTAGTCCCTGCACTACACATCATTTCAACAAATAACTTTAACAACATCAAAAGATATTACAAAGAATGTTAAGAAAACTCAATTGGATATCTGAAATCACAACAATTGAGAATCAATCGCACATAAATATCAACAAATGCTGACTAATGATGTGTACCAAGATAAGGAGTGCTTCATTAGTTGTGAACTACAGTTGTGGGATCGCACAACGTTACACGATGTGCGGTGTGAGCACGATGTGTGCACGGTGTGTGAACGGTGTGTGCACGATGGGCGAACGATGAAAAGCTGGACGATCATTTCTTGCGCACATCTGTGCGCACGATGGACGGACGCTGTGCTATAACAATCGTGGTTGGTGTAAATTGAGGAATGCCTTAACAATTTATACGGTTTTGTGTTTAAACATATAAAGTTGATGTTTACGTATGTTTCTATGTTCTAGCAACATCTATAAACTTATATAATTATCTTTCTGTCTATATATTCTTATATTTAGAAATTGTGTTTTCTGTGTTTTTAAACAAACATAATCGTCACATGTAAAATTACAACACAATCCCGTATACAGGTAAACATAACCACTTTGTACATGTACCTGGACCGTAGTTTTCTCCCCGCCTGGGGCACTTACGTACCTGGTCGGGTAAGGCCGGGGGTGTGAAAATCCAGGTGAAGGGGAGCCATAGGCAAACGAATGCAAATAACAAATACTATTCATTATGGTCAAACGGTATCGCATATCAGCTCTGTGTGTCAGGCACTGGTCAGCTAAAACCCCGGACACTCATAAAATTGTTATTTACCTGTTCTGTTGCCTTGGAGCCAAACCCATTCTTGACAGCCTAACTGTCGCTGTAATACTGTGTAACACGCATTGTGAAGTTCTGTAATCTTGATTATTGTGATGAGAAATTACAGATATATACACAGTGTACATTATCGAATACAAGCCTTCCGTATTTTTGGCAATCCGTAATTTTGATCTACAAATGATACCAAATCGCACAGTTGTGCGCACCATGTTTGGACGATGTGCGGACGGTGTGTGAACGATGTATGCACGGTGTGCGCACGCTATTTTTGGTGCGTTGTGCGGTCCCACAACTGTACAACTCATTGATAAAAATAACGCAACAAAATCGACATATTATCATTCTACATTAAATGCTTCAAGAAAATAAGATACACAATATAGTTAATGTCTGACTCAAAACCTAAGGCAGAAATAAAATGGGAAGATTACTATTATTCTAGAAAAATTCAAATACAAAACACGGAAACTATTTGAACAAAAACTAAGCATACTGCAGTTTCCAACAATGAAAGCATTTCGATTGGAATTTTATTCATAGGACTGTTTTTACTGAAGCAAAATTACAATTGATATTGTGTGACTATTGTGATCAAGTGTTACTATGGATATATTGTGATAATGTAATGTAACTATGGTGATATAGCGTAACAACGGTGAGAAAATAAGAAATTGGAAAAAAATCGAAACAAAAATGATGACATTGTTGTAAAAAAGAAAAATGGAAATCAGTTTATCTTCATGTATTGCATCATAATACTGAAAGGAAAAGAAAAATGTAAAAGTTGCTGCCCTCGATGTTTTTAAAAAAGTAAAACAAAAACAAATCCAACATTATCACAAATAAAAGTCAACTGAATCTTGAGCTTAGGTGACATTGTTAACAGATACTTATCACAAATGTATGAACATATAAGTTAACACAGGGTGTTACTGAAAAGAGTAATGACACCATCAAATTTATTTCCCTAGAGTGAACGTGAACATACATTGTGTGCCTCGGTGTGTAGCCTAGTCAATCATGTCGATAGTTCGCTTGATGTGATAAAAGTTGATATGATCAGCAAAGAGATTAAGCTCTCGAGATGATTGATCCGACTAACAGACACTGAACCGAACTATGTTGGAACCACTGCAGAGTTGGGGATTTGCTTTGGTGTCCTCTATATCGGGACACAAAAGTGACCAAAATAAAACTGCTGCGCTCATTGAAATATTTGGGATCTTTATCTTTCTTTCTACTTCTAACTACCTTTTATTTCCTTGCGCCTTACTTGGCAACACCTCACTTTTGGCTTGAATTTTGAGCGTTCGCTCAGGTGAGGAAGGCAATGGGTTTTGTCCGCAGGCCGGGACATACCAAAGTCCTTAAAAATGGTAGTTGTGATTCCGTGCTTAACGTTCAGTATTTAGGGGAATGGCAACAACTGGTTTACCTGTTGTCAGTATAATGTGATCAGCCGGAATGCTGTGCTGGGTGCCTTCGGCATGGTATTTCAGTGAGAAAGCATTATAAAGCCGGCATCAGATCAGCGCTATCACAAGGAGGCAAGCACTCCAACATACCCTGGTTCCTGCATACACACATAAAGGCACGTCCTTAAATTATCTTAGCTGTTAATAGGACGTTAAACAAAAAAAATGAACCAAACTCAACTTATTAAACGTTGTTGTTAAAGTAAAATAAATCATGAATACGTTATCACTTAGTGTTTCTCACTGTATACAGCTGAACAAGTCGCTAACTTAATGTTAGACGAAAAATTCAAATGTTAAATAAACAGTCAGCTTTATGTAAAATATGTGGTCTGTATTTTTGTTATACATGTATAATGTCAAAAGAGAGCATTTCATGTGTTATATATACAATGTCAAACATTGTGTAGTTAACGTCTTATACAATGTTAAAAATTGTGTATTTTCGAAATTATTTTGACTTTTAATTTTGCTCAGGACTGTTGGTGGGGTATATATCATGTAAGTTGGTCTTAAAAAGATAGTGGTATAAGTTAATATATTAGATTTATATTTTATTTTTTACATTTTAGAATAAACAAAGATGGGGATCACTATTTGATCACTATTTTCTTTATTTATTTACCAATGATTTTCTTCTAAAATACAGTATACAATACGGAATGAAATGCGTTGTCTTGGAATGTAAGAAGTATGGTGCAATATTGTGGTGAAAAATAAATATAAAAATAAAATATTAGGTATTTATGAACAAATATAAGAATGACAGTTGCAAGATTTTTTTTTTATGTATATAAGAAGAATGGCGTTTGTAAGACCCCCCAAGTAAGGAAAACAGATTATAAGGGAAGCCGATTCCAGGACTGCTCAGCCCTGGAAGCTCCCAAATATATATTCATTGCATTCTGAGCAAGTTCACTTTTGTTATAAAAAATCTCTCAGTGAAAGTGAAACTGTACGGTTGCATAAAACGTTAGGTTATATGCCCGTGTCCGCTGAATCATTACAGCATATTGTGAGCGAGAAGGAAACAGTCCAAATTACATACGCCACCGTCCCTGTTTTTCGGAATGCCTTTTACCATAGACAAAGCGTTTCCCTTCTGTTTTGTTGTAGTAAAGAACACATTACTGAACCACAGCAAATCCGCGACAGGTAAGTCCCCGGTGTAGAATACTTCCACTGTAACGTTCATTGTCACTCGGACGATTTCAGTGAAACCGCATCTCATGAGAAACGGGTTGTTGGTCTGGTCAACCAGCACGAGTCGTTGTCTACAGAAGTGGTCAGTCGGACTGCCCTTGACCGTAAGGACCAATTGGACCTTATGATTATAATAGTGACAGTAGAAGTCAGAGAAATACATGTTCATGTTGTTGTTCAACAGGAAGTATGTAGGGACATGTAGCCTTACTGGCCCGAAATAGGAAAAGTCTGGAGGTAAACGTGTCACTTGGTTCACAGTTGTGCTGAAGAACAGACCCTGTACTTGTTTGTTGAGTGTGGAGGCCTGATCCCCTCCCCAGTTCTTGTCGTACTTATGCATCACACCGTCTGTTGTCATGATATTGCTAAAGTACACCTCGGACTTAGTGCGATAGAAATGAGAAATATTGAAATAGTTGGGCGGTCTTCTTAACACGAAACGTGTCGCCTTGATGTAAAGTTCCAACACCTCATTTTGCGTCATATCTGAAATATGCATAGCTCTTTACAGGGTCAAGTGTGACGTGTTATTCTACATGCATACATGTATATCTCTAAGCCAGAATGGAGGCTGTCACACTTTGTAGTGCAGAATGCTTATTAGTATTATTAAAAATATGTTTGCTTGTTTTTAGTATGAAGATAATAATAGAATTGTTGTGTTTAGTGTCAGAGAACGTTAATGTTATACAGGTATTTTTCAATATATCTAAACCGGACTACTTTTGTATGAAACAGCCTCTTTACTGTTCAGAACAGTATTTGAGACAATTATACAAATTTGTTCACAAGTGCATTTCCTTGATATAAACTGTGTTTGTATGAATTGGCAAACAGAGTCCTTTAGTATTCTGTATACACTTACTTGCAGTAAAAGTTGTTACGGTTGAGTGTGAATTTCCAATAAAAAACACGTCATCCATGATGTATCTCGTGCAGACTCTGCAGAGCTGTAGTTTATACTCTGTAGCGGGTTTTAGATCGTAGGGGATCTCATATTTTGTTTCTGAACCGTAGTATATCATGATACATGCGGCTGGAGGGTGAGTCTGACACAGAGTTATAATAAAGGCGTCCGTGTGTTCGTCCCTGTGCTGTAGGTCTGTCAACATGTACCGCCGTGGGCCGGTACTGACTACAGTTACATGGTAGGATTCCTGACGTGAGAAAACGGGTAAATGCAATATAACTATGAAAACATGCACAATTCATGACATTTTATATAACTGTCCTTTATACATAAAATTGTGCTTTCTGGCTGGTAGAAAAAATACATTTTAGTGGAACCTATTCATTTGGAAGAACAAATATGGGAACACCTGCATAATTGTGCACTCTTCTTCTAGACAACAAAGCGACCAAAATTAATCTTAAGCACCCATTGCAAACTTATCCTTGCAACCCTATGTTGTTTTACTTCCTTCTTTCTTCCTTTTTATCTTTTATTTTTTTATATTTATTTTTTATTTTTCAAGCATTTTTAAATTAACACACACGCACCAACCATTCACTCATGCACACCATTTATCATCATCATCATCATCATCATCATCACTATTTCATGATCATTTTCGTCCTCATTCTCTTTTTACAACATCCTTATCATCATATCATCATTCATCTTCATCCTCCTCATTATCATCATCATCTTAACATTATCCTCATCATAATCATCATCTCACCATTCATCATCATCATTTCATAAATATCATGATCATTATTATACTATTTCATCACCATCATTTCATAATTATCATCATCGTCATCATTTCATAATTATCATCATCATCATTACACCACTTATAATAGTATCAGCATCTTCATTGCTGCACCTTATCATCATCATTTTCTTCAACAACACACACACCAATTTGATGACACGATCATCATTGCCCTACGATAATATATCATCATCATTATAATCATCATCATCACCATTATGATGTGCACACTCACTCTCACAAGCACACAGGTTCAGGTTAAAAACAATCTTGCTACTAATTCATACCACTTGAGTTTTATCAATATTCATTTCTAAACCAGATCTTTTTACAAATTCATTTAGCTCTTTTACTGCTTCCTTTAGTGATTTATCAGAGCCATCAAGTATAAGTGAAGTGTTATCGACATATTGTGATAATAAGATAGGGCAACTTTCAATCTCGATACCTTTAATATAACTATTATTTCTCAATTTTGTAGCCAAAACCTATGCACAAAGAACAAACAGATACGGTGCGATCGGATCCCCCTGTTGGCAGCCCCTCCTGATATCAAAGAATGATGATATGTCCCCCCCCCCCCCTGATTTATAGCTAAATGAACATTAGTATGTAAAGTTTTAAACCAGTTTACAATGCTAATACCAAAACCAAAGAGAAGTAGAACTTTTTCAATAAATAACCAAGACATTGAATCAAATGCCTTCTCAAAATCAATCATCAATAGCATGCCAGGTATATCATTCTCTTCAGTATAATGCATAATATCATATATTAATCTTGTATTTACCCCTATATAACGACCCATTTAATACATAGTTTCTATTTTCTAAATTAAAAAAATACCTTGTAGGTTTTTCCCCTTCTTCTGCCCATTTCGCCCGTGATCTTATAATACTGCCTTTAATCTTATGTGATCGTATCTTCTCTAAATCATTTTTTTCCAATTTAATTCATCTAAGTTAACATTTTCCTGGGCCTCAAGCTCTTGTATTGCTTTTTTTAAGGTTATCTTCCCTGAAGTTTTGTTTCCAAAAATAACTGGTCATTAATAGTAAATTGAATCTCAGAAGTAAGGATGTTTTCAATATTGTTCAAATGATAAATTGGTAAACAATATTGTTTTTTTACATCATTTATGCAATTATTTACTAATTTTAAGTATTCTGAATCCTAAAGAAGTGAATTATTAAGTTTCCATGTCCCTCTACCTCTTTTAAATTCATTTAATATTACTAATATCTTGGGAAATGAGTGATCCGACCTATAACCAGGACCTATACCTGTGTGATTAATACTAGATAGTAGACTTTCTGAAACTATAAAAAAATCTAGGCGTGCCTGTTTTACCAGGTTATTTTTTCTCCAAGTATATCTCCTAACATTTTCGTGTTGTTCTCTAAAGACATCGACAAGACCAAAATTATCAATTATATCTAATACCTTGTGTCTGGATTTTGGATTGTTAATGTTTCTATATGTGTTGTCATAATTTAGTTCGGGCTTTAAAACAAGGTTAAAATCACCACAAATAATAATATGCGTATAATCAAAGTCTTCAATCGTGTCAGAAATTATTGCATAAAAATCAGGACTATCTTGATTGGGCCCATAGATATTTATTAGTGTAATGTGTGAACCTTCTATTTCTATATCTAACGCTAAAACATTCCCTGATGTGTCTTTCTTTTCTTTATAGACTTTGCACTCAAAGTTATTACTAAAAAGAACAGCTACCCCACGAGAGTTTCCACGAAAGGACGAATAATATAAATCATATCCCCATTCATTTGATGAGCTCTTCGTTATCTTCTATGAAATGCGTATCTTGTAAACAGTAAAAGTTGTGGTTTAAGAATCTCTAAGATATGAGAACACATCTTTACGCTTTACTCTATTCGAAAGCCCTTGCACATTAGCCGATATAATCCTCACACCCTCCACTTTCCCATTAAACTTAACGCGTTTGGTTCAAATACTTCCTTCTTTCTACCAACCTTTTAATTTCCTAGCGCCAAGCAATTTTCCAAATGGGGAAGGCAAGGAGTTCTGTGCCAGAACGGGACATAAAAAAAGACCTTTAACATATCTACTAAATATTCAGCATAAATGGTACAAGCAGTTGCAATAACTGTTTAACATAACGTATTATTTGTGTAATGATAGTGTTAGGCTTGGTTTGGTTTTATTTTGTTTAACGTCCTACTAACAGCCTAGGTCAGTTAAGGACGTGCCACTCCATGCGTGTTGTGTATGCGTGCTTGCGTATGTGTGAGTGTGTTCAGGAGACAGGGTGTGTTGATGTGATTGCTTCCTTGTGATGCTATCTCACTTAAAGGCAGTGCCGATCGCACCCAGAACAACATTCCGCCCGGTCTCATGTAACTGACAACGGGTGAACCAGTTGTTGCCATTCCCCTTAATTCTGAACGTTAAGCAGGGAATAACAAATATTATTTTTAAGGAAATTGGTACGTCCCGGCCTCGGGACAGAACTAATTGCCTTCCTTAGCTCAGCAGTAAAACCAAAATATTTATATATAGGTTTTGCCAAGCAAGGCTCTAGTAAATATCTATCGATAACAGGCAACTGACTGTCTTTTACACACTCACACATATATAACACACATGGTGGCTCGTCATTAAATTACTAATATTACAGTGTTTCACATAAATAAGATCGGGACTAAATTATTAAAAATAGTATCATAATTTGCGGTGAACTTAAGACAAGGTTTTCTTCTATGTCTTTTGCTTGGGGGAAGTTGAAGAAAGACGAAGGAGAAGCACCTATAAAATAGATACTGTTTGATAATACTAACTAATACATTCATTAACAAAGATGATCTGCTGCCCGTAGGGCAGTATTTGTATCTGTGTGTTTTCTTTCCTCACTTCCCTACCTACTCTTACTTAACGGCAGGCTCTCCCTAGGTACCAGTCTTAACATGGCCTTAGATTTTGATGGGACGTCAAACCTCATCCCATATAAACAGATAAACAAGGGCTAAAGATAATGGCAGAAATAAGCAGATGTATCTGTAACCTATTGGCCTGTGAGAATATCGTATGAAGCCAGAAATATTACCATTTTAGGGCAAATTAAATCTATATCAGAGAATCAAAAACATGTTTCAATGTTACCTACGTGCATCCTACGGTGGCCTGTCTATTGATATAACACATCTCTCTGAAAACAAAATTCATTTACCTTTTTCGAATTATCTGCTAATAAATCTTGGTATGTTCTTATAGGTTGTGTATTCATCATCAGATAGGTGTAATTCAGTCCTGTGTATCAAAAATATGCAGCAATTGGATTTTCAGCTATAACCATACATATTTTTTTGTAAATTAAACGGCTATTACCGTTGTAATTTTACCAGGATAATCAATGGCGTTTACGATTTTGTCAGTGCAAATTAAAAACAAATATCTACTAATTTACCTAGTGAAGATACTCATAAATATATAGGTGATAGATAGTTGAGGTTATTATCAAATGATATCATTAACAACAGTTACCATCCCTAAAGAGCACTGTTTTCTTGTCTCCAGTCAGGACGGTGTACCAGAGACGATTGTTCACACCAGACATGCGTACACCGTGTACAGTTACGGTTGCTGAGGACGCTTCCAATACGTCATATGGGCACATGAAGTGACGGAGCTCAGAGGCACGACTATTTCTGATAAATGTTTGAAATATCGCGTGAGTTTTCAAATTGGTTACTTGCAACAGAAGACATTCTAGATCAGGTTCGTTTGCGCGTTTGATGTCTATATGGAATGTTGATGGCGTTTGGACTCCTTGCCTCCACAGGATAACCGAAGTCACTATCTGAAAAAGGTAATAAAACATGTATTATATGGGAATAGCCAAGGTTCGGACGCTCGGAGGGTTAGATATTCCATTGGTCAGGAAATCCCATGGGAATTTCTCGGAAATTTTTGAAGTACTCGCACACTAACAATTCATTGTATTTGAAGAATGAGTCACTGAATTCGAAGTTAGGAAGCGCTAATTATAGTTCTAGTATTTTGGAAAATATGTGCAAAGGCAGCAATTGGAAAGGTACCTACAATGTATCACCCTTTATAACGCCACAAGTGTTTGACATTTGCTTCATATGAATGTATATTTGAAGCTTAAAACAGCATATTATGTTACATTGTAACTGTTCTGTATCAACCTGATATGTAAAACTTCTGGGACCTAATCTACCAGCAGAATCCTATAAAATAGACCAAACATCTTTTAAGACATGCAAGGATATGTTCAATATACGTATTCTGCACATACAATGCTGTTTAGTGTACGAACACGAGTGTAATGCTGTTAACAAACACATAAGCTTACTGAAATTTACCCTCAGGGTTACGAAGAAATTTTGAACATGACGTAAAGGAGTTTTCTTTTTAAAGTAAGCGACCAGAGCTGTTGGTTTAGATGCAAGAAACCCCTTACTTAGGTATTTCTATAATATTCTTTACTGAATGTACTGTGTTATTTACACCTCTGTGATCAAACCTTGTTTTTGGTGTTTTTTTTAACATATACAAACAACCAATTACACAAGTTAACTATTTAAAATACATGTGTGTATCATCCTACCTCCTCAAGTAGGTTCCATTCCTCACACCGCCATTGGTTATAGACAGACCTGTCGACGACTTCATCGGAGGTTTGAACCTCATTCGACTCCAGCACATTTGGTCGAATACTTGAGGACACGGTTGTCGCCGTACTCTTATTGATTTGTATGTGATTCAATGATGTCTGAGCACATTGTTCAGAACATGTCACTTGAACATTCTCTTGTACACTATTAGAGTCCATGGACGAGTAAGCACTCGTGGTAATGGCTCTTGACTTGGAGAAAGATTCAAAGTTATCATATGTTAATCCTCTTTTGACTCCCGCGACGGATACAAAACATCCATCGAAAGATGACTTTGTGGTAGAAGCTGATGCTGTATTATCTGATATGGAACTAGATTTGTTGAACATGGTAGACACTGGGGTGGTCGTGTTTGTACCAGATTTGTTGGACATGATACACACTTGGGTTGTAGAGTTTATACCAGATTTGTTAGACATGGTAGACACCGGGTTTGTAGTGTTGGTATCAGATTTGTTGGAAGTGGTAGTCAATGGGGTTGTAGAGTTTGTCCCAGATTTGTAGGACATGGTAGACACCGGGGTTGTAGTGTTTGTACCAGATTTGTGGGACGTGAACGACACTGGGGTCGTGGTGTTTGTATTAGATTTGTTTGACGTGATGGACGATGTTGCTGTAGCGTTTGCACTAGATTTGTTGGAAATGGTGGACACTGGGGTGGTCGTGTTTGTACCAGATTTGTTGGACATGGTACACACTTGAGTTGTAGAGTTTATACCAGATTTGTTGGACATTGTAGACACCGGGTTTGTAGTGTTGGTATCAGATTTGTTGGACGTGGTAAACACTGGGGTTGTTGTGTTTGTACTAGATTTGATGGACAGGGTGGACACTGGGGTGGTCGTGTTTGTACCAGATTTGTTGGACATGGTACACACTTGGGTTGTTGAGTTTATACCAGATTTGTTGGACATGGTACACACCGGGTTTGTAGTGTTGGTATCAGATTTGTTGAACGTGGAAAACACTGTGGTTGTAGTGTTTGTACCAGATTTGTTGCACATGGTAGACACTGTGGTTGTAGTGTGTGTACCAGATTTGGTGGACGTGGAAGAAACTGGGGTTGTAGTGTTTTTACCAGACTTGTTGGATGTGGTAGAAACTGGGGTTGTAGTGTTTTTACCAGACCTATTGGACGTGGTAGACACCGGGGTTGTAGTGTTTGAACCAAGTTTGTTGGACGTGGTAGAAACTGGGGTTGTAGTGTTTGTACCAGAGTTAATGGAAGTGGTAGTCACTTGGGTTGTAGTGTTTGTACTAGATTTGTTGGACGTGGTAGAACCTGGGGTTGTAGAGTTTATACCAGATTTGTTAGACATGGTAGGCACTGGGGTTTTAGTGTTTGTACCAGACTTGTTGGACGTGGTAGACACTGGGGTTATATGGTTTGTATCAGATTTGTTGGATTTAGTAAACCCTGGTGTCGTAGTGTTTGAAACCGGGGTTGTAGTGGTTGTACTAGATTTGTGGGACGTGAAAGACACCGGGGTTGTAGTGTTTGTACCAGATTTGTGGGACGTGACAGACACTGGTGTTGTGGTGTTTGTATTATATTTGTTTGACGTGATAGACGATGTTGTTGTAGCGTTTGCACTAAATTTGTTTGGCATAGTAGACACTAAGGTGATTGTGTTTGTACTAGATTTGTTAGACATGGTAGACACTGGGGTTGAAGTGTATGTAGCAGATTTGTTAGACTTAGTAGACGCCTCGGTCGTAGTGTTTGACACCGGGGTTGTAGTGTTTGAACCAAGTTTGTTGGACGTGGTAGAACCTGGGGTTGTAGAGTTTATGCCAGCCCTGTTGGACATGGTAGACACCGGGATTGTAGTGTTTGTACCAGAGTTAAGGGAAGTGGTAGTCACTTGGGTTGTAGTGTTTATACCAGATTTGTTAGACGTGGTAGAAACTGGGGTTGTTGTGTTTTTACCAGACTTGTTGGACGTGGTGGACACTGGGGTTATATGGTTTGTATCAGATTTGTTGCATTTAGTAAACCCTGGTGTCGTAGTGTTTGAAACCGGGGTTGTAGTGGTTGTACTAGATTTGTGGGACGTGAAAGACACCGTGTTTGTAGTGTTTGTACCAGATTTCGTGGACATGGTAGGCACTGGGGTTTTAGTGTTTGTACCAGACTTGTTGGACATGGTAGACACCGGGGTTGTAGTGTTTGTACTAGATTTGTTGGACGTGGTAGAACCTGGGGTTGTAGTGTTTATACCAGATTTGTTAGACGTGGTAGAAACTGGGGTTGTCGTGTTTGTACCAGATTTCGTGGACATGGTAGGCACTGGGGTTTTAGTGTTTGTACCAGACTTGCTGGACGTGGTAGACACTGGGGTTATATGGTTTGTATCAGATTTGTTGGATTTAGTAAACCCTGGTGTCGTAGTGTTTGAAACCGGGGTTGTAGTGGTTGTACCAGATTTGTGGGACGTGAAAGACACCGGGGTTGTAGTGTTTGTACCAGATTTGTGGGACGTGACAGACACTGGTGTTGTGGTGTTTGTATTAGATTTGTTTGACGTGATAGACGATGTTGTTGTAGCGTTTGCACTAGATTTGTTTGGCATAGTAGACACTAAGGTGATTGTGTTTGTACTAGATTTGTTAGACATGGTAGACACTGGGGTTGTAGTGTATGTAGCAGATTTGTTAGACTTAGTAGACACCTCGGTCGTAGTGTTTGACACCGGGGTTGTAGTGTTTGTACCAGATTTGTTGGACGTGGTAGAAACTGGGGTTGTAGTGTTTTTACCAGACTTGTTGGACGTGATAGAAACTGGGGTTGTAGAGTTTATGCCAGACCTGTTGGACATGGTAGACACCGGGATTGTAGTGTTTGTACCAGACCTGTTGGACATGGTAGACACCGGGGTTGTAGTGTTTGTACCAAGTTTGTTGGACATGATAGACACCGGGGTGGTAGTGTTTGTACCATGTTTGTTGGACGTGGTAGAAACTGGGGTTGTAGTGTTTTTATCAGACTTAATGGACGTGGTAGAAACTGGGGTTGTAGTGTTTTTACCAGACTTGTTGGACGTGGTAGAAACGGGGGTTGTAGTGTTTGTACCAGAGTTGTTGGAAGTGGTAGTCACTTGGGTTGTAGTGTTTGTACCACGTTTGTTGGACGTGGTAGAAACTGGGGCTGTAGTGTTTGTACCTGACTTGTTGGACATGGTAGACACCGGGGTGGTAGTGTTTGTACCATGTTTGTTGGACGTGGTAGAAACTGGGGTTGTTGTGTTTGTACCTGACTTATTGGACGTGGTAGAAACTGGGGTTGTAGAGTTTATACCAGATTTTTTAGACGTGGTAGAAACTGGGGTTGTTGTGTTTGTACCAAGTTTGTTGGAGATGGTAGAAACTGGGCTTGTAGATTTTATACCAGATTTGTTAGACGTGGTAGAAACTGGGGTTGTAGAGTTTATACCAGACTTGTTGGACATGGTAGACACCGGGATGGTAGTGTTTGTACCATGTTTATTAGACGTGTTAGAAACTGGGGTTGTAGAGTTTATATCAGATTTGTTAGACGTGGTAGAACCTGGGGTTGTAGAGTTTATACCAGATTTTTTAGACGTGGTAGAAACTGGGGATGTAGAGTTTATACCAGACTTGTTGGACATGGTAGACACCGGGATGGTAGTGTTTGTCCCATGTTTATTAGACGTGTTAGAAACTGGGGTTGTAGTGTTGGTACCATATTTGTGGGACGTGAAAGACATTGGGGTTGTGGTGTTTGTATTAGATTTGTTTGACGTGATAGACGATGTTGTTGTAGCGTTTGTACTAGATTTGTTGGACAGGGTGGACACTGGGGTGGTCGTGTTTGTACCAGATTTGTTTGACATGGTACACACTTGGGTTGTAGAGTTTGTACCAGATTTGTTGGACATGGTAGACACCGGGTTTGTAGTTTTGGTATCAGATTTGCTGGACGTGGTAAACACTGTAGTTGTAGTGTTTGTACCAGATTTGTTGCACATGGTAGACACTGTGGTTGAATTGTTTGTACTAGATTTGGTGTACGTGGTGGACGCTGGGGTTGTAGTGTTTTTACCAGACTTGTTGGACGTGGTAGACACCGGGGTTGTAGTGTTTGTATCAGAGTAGTTGGACGTGGTAGAAACTGGGGTTGTAGTGTTTTTACCAGACTTGTTGGACGTGGTAGAAACTGGGGTTGTAGAGTTTATATCAGATTTGTTAGACGTGGTAGAAACTGGGGTTGTAGTGTTTGTATCAGATTTGTGGGACGTGAAAGACACTGGTGTTGTGGTGTTTGTATTAGATTTGTTTGACGTGATAGACGATGTTGTTGTAGCGTTTGCACTAGATTTGTTGGACATAGTAGACACTAAGGTGATTGTGTTTGTACTAGAGTTGTTGGAAGTGGTAGTCACTTGGGTTGTAGTGTGTGTACTAGATTTTTTGGACGTGGTAGAAACTGGGGTTGCAGTGTTTGTACCAGATTTTTTAGACGTGGTAGAAACTGGAGTTGTTGTGTTTGTACCACGTTTATTAGACGTGTTAGAAACTGGGGTTGTAGAGTTTATATCAGATTTGTTAGACGTGGTAGAAACTGGGGTTGTAGTGTTGGTACCATATTTGTGGGATGTGAAAGACACTGGGGTTGTGGTGTTTGTATTAGATTTGTTTGACGTGATAGACGATGTTGTTGTAGCATTTGTACTAGATTTGTTGGACAGGGTGGACAATGGGTTGGTCGTGTTTGTACCAGATTTGTTTGACATGGTAGACACCGGAGTTGTAGTGTTTGTTCCAAGTTTGTTGGACGTGGTAGAAACTGGGGTTGTAGTGTTTGTACCAGAGTAGTTGGAAGTGGTAGTCACTTGGGTTGTAGTGTTTGTACTAGATTTGTTTGACATGGTAGACACCGGAGTTGTAGTGTTTGTACTAGATTTGTTGGACGTGGTAGGCACTGGGGTTGTAGTGTTTGTACCAGACTTGTTGGACGTGGTAGAACCTGGGGTTGTAGTGTTTGTACCAGATTTGTGGGACATGGTAGACACTGGGGTTGTCGTGTTTGTACCAGGTTTCGTGGACGTGGTAGGCACTTGGGTTTTAGTGTTTGTATCAGATTTGTTGGACGTGGTAGACACCGGGGTTGTTGTGTTTGTAATAGATTTGTTAGACATGGTAGACATTGGGGTTGTAGTGTATGTAGCAGATTTGTTGGACTTAGTAGACACCTCGGTCGTAGTGTTTGACACCGGGGTTGTAGTGTTTGTACCAGAAATGTTGGACGTGGTAGACACTGGGGTTGTAGTGTTTGTACTAGATGTGTTTGTACTAGATTTGTTGGACGTGGTAGACGCTGTGGTTGTAGTGTTTGTACTATATATGTTGAACATGGTAGACCCTGGTGTCGTAGTGTTTGAAACCGGGGTTTTATTGCTTATACCAGATTTTTGGACGTGGTAGACGCTGTGGTTGTAGTGTTTTGTACTAGATTTGTTAGACTTGGTAGACACTGGGGTTGTTTGGTTTGTACTAGATATGTTGAACATGGTAGGCACTGGAGTTGTAGTGTGGGTATCAGATTTAATGGACGTGGTAGACACTGGGGTTGTTTGGTTTGTACTAGATATGTTGAACATGGTAGACACTGGAGTTGTAGTGTGTGTATCAGATTTAATGGACGTGGTAGACACTGTGGTTGTAGTGTTTGTACTAGATTTGTGGGACATGGTTGACACTGGGGTTGTAGTGTTTGTACTAGATTTGTGGGACATGGTAGACACTGGGGTTGTAGTGTTTGTACCAGATTTGTTCGACGTGGTAGGCGCTGTGGTTGTAGTTTTTGTACCAGACTTGTTGGATGTGGTAGAAACTGGGGTTGTAGTGTTTGTACTAGATTTGTGGGACATGGTAGACACTTGGGTTGTAGTGTTTGTAGCAGATTTGTGAGACTTGTTAGACCCTGGGATTGTTGTGTTTGTACTAGATTTATGAGACTTGGTAGACATTGGGGTTGTTGTGTTTGTACTAGATTTGTTGTACGTGGTAGACATTGAGATAGAACCTGGGATATTGATAGGAGATTGTGTATAAACTGGTACTGTATCTTTTGTTTGAATATCAATACTCGACTTGGTACGTAAAGATTTAGTAAACCCAGAGTTGAACAGTGTCTTTCCGGTAATAGATAACTTTGCAGGTGAAGATAAGTGTGCAGATGTCGTCGAGTAGAAAGTTTCGAACAGAACACATTGTTTAGATGGGTCAATCTGATGTGCGGCGTTTACGTCATGTTTTGGAAATGGTGGTGTAGCATTTAATAGTGGAGGTCTAGTATGGAAAGGAAATGGAGTAGAGCTTGGCAAAAGCGATCGTACAGCCGCTGCAGGGGAACAACCGATAGCACGTTCATGAGAGTTTTGTTTAGCCATTACAGTATATGTTCGCTCTTCGATAGAAAAAACCCACAGTGTTAACGAATTATGTCCGATATATATAGCCAGTGTTTAAACGTGGACTGATATATAGCTGGTGTTTTAACGTGGACTGATATATAGCTGGTGTTTTAACGTGGACTGATATATAGCTGGTGTTTTAACGTGGACTGATATATAGCTGGTGTTTTAACGTGGACCGATGTATAGCTGGTGTTTTAACGTGTACTGATATATAGCCAGTGTTTTAACGTGGACTCATCTTCCCGATCTTCCTTCTATACTGAACCTGTCTAGTGCCTTCTTCGCTTTGAAGTCAAATGTGTCTGTTAACGACAGATTTCTCCTTAACTTCTATGAAATCTGAAACACAATTCATATTAAAAAGTGAAAACTGGCACACAAGACATCTGCAATGTCAAAAGTGTACCAATGCAATACATACTGCATTGTTAAATCTGTAACAATGCAAAAACCTCCGATTTGCTTCGAATTATTCAATTCTAACATGTGTGTTTTTTACTGCTTTTTTAGAATTAATTCTAATATATTTTATTTAATATTGTGTAGTTAAAAAATTAGTTGTAAATTATACTGTGTATATAGTTCATTGTTTATATGCGGACGCTCGGTCCATGTATATGAATTTCCTTTGTTAAAGATGAAAGCGTTACAGAACAAGTACATGTAATAATATATTGTTATTGTTACTTGCAGAAAATATTGTTTACCCGTATTCATTTGCAACTGACGATATGAGGATCTTAGCTTTCCTTCCCTTTAATTAGAAATGCTTCCTGGCCATGTAATGTCATATCGCTATTGAAATGTAAAACACTGTAAAAAAAACTAATTGAATCGCTAAACCTAACCACATTTGGATAGTCATTCATGTTCGGCTATATATAGCATGGCGTTACCTGAGCTGGTATGAATTTGCTCTGGGAACAAAACTGCTGGGGCAGTGATACGGGACATGGCCATGTAAACGAGTGAGTAAGGAGGAGGAACAATACACGTTAATTTCCATATGCTGAATCATTTACTCTTCAAATACAGACTAACTATTTAGCTCTCATTCCGTACCTGTGAGTGACCCAAGGAAAAGCGTGCAGTCGTACATGTGTGTACGAGCCTTACAGAGCGATACTAAACATTGACTTTACTCATATACTCAAGATATATAATTGTGTTTATATTTTGGATAGACATTATCGGTAAAACAGGTAGTGGGCATACTTATGGACAATGCTATATTTAAACAGACTTTACAGTCGTCAATGGGTATTGACAATCTCTAGACCGAGATAGTAGCATTGACAGATCGAATGGACAAAATGGAAGATATCCTTGAGACGGAACGAGAGAGTATTGATGATCTCATCTTAAGGTCATTCCAATATGGCTGCCACACCAAACTGTATATCAAATTCAATAATGCATTCCGGTAGCATTAAACAATCCCTGTCACAAAAAAATACTCCTCCAATAGTTCTCAAACATAATTGAGGTACATGCACATTACATTTTAAAAAAAACACATTCAATAACTGATGAAAAAACTCACTTTTTTATATGTTCATTTTCCAAGCTGAATAAAAGTCACAATTCAGTAAAAGGAATCCATTTAAACTTGTAAATATCATAAGGTGGGATGTCCATTGAGATGCATTTGTCGAGAAAAATGTAAGAAAATGTGTCAAATCTGAATAAATCACAACTGAGCACAAAGTGAACAAGGCTGACTGAGCTTGGAAAAGAGCAGGCAAAGCAATTGAAACTTTACCTGTACATCATTCACTACAGGTTCTCACTCAGGTAATATGGCTTGACTTGTATCAAAAGTCGTGTTAGCTTTATGAATTATTGTGAAATACCCAATCAAAATACATTTCATCACTCTCGAGATTTGAAGCTTTTTCTTATATTTTTCTCGACAAATGCACCTCCATGGACATCCAACCTTATGTTATTTACAAGTTTAAATGAGTTTTTTCCTGACTTGTGACTTTTATTCAGCTTGGAAATTAAACATATAAAAAGTGAGTTTTTTCATCAGTTATTGAATATTTTTTATGAAATTTAGTGTGGATGTACCTCAATTACGTTTGAGAAATATTGGAGGAGGATTTTTTGTGACAGGAATGCATTATTGAATTTGATATACAGTTTGGTGTCGGAGCCATATTGGAATGACCTTCATAACTTGTAATGACGCGCTCGGTGTAGCGGTAGTTCCTAGCGATATCAGCAGAACACATCGAGTTGGTCCAAAAAGTGCTGATCGACCTTGAGACATTATTGTCCAATTTTTATCTTATTGCACGCGAGCTACAGTCTACGAGGCAAGATTCAACCCGATTAAGTCGAATAAAGGTGAAAAGTCTGGTCAACAACCACACACATAAATAAAGCACTGACGAAACAGCGGATGGAAGTGTACAGTAAGACACTGTGGTTAAGAAAGAACAAACACATATCTGGTTCGTGGACCATTGACGGTCGCATTGTTATTCGCGATAACCTCCAGCAAAAGGCGCACGTCACCTCTCTGCGTGAGCTACACAGCTATCCCGAACCCCTCCCCGGCGGACCGGGCCCAGGACTCTTGCTCAACGCGTCTCAATGTCGGCACTTTCCAAATGGACTTCACGTATTTGACAAATGAATACAACTTTCAAAGAAAGCTATAGTCCGATATCTTGAAACGATAATATAATTTGTTACTAAATGTTTGACAATAACACTGTTCAGTTTTACAGTGTTATTAGTAAATGAACCAAACCACGAGTACATAACAAGTATGTAAATCATCAGTATGTTTACTGCCATTTAATTACCGTGCTTGCAATACTTTAACTATAATTTCACAAGTGTGTTGTACTGTATCTTCATACAATATACATACATTTTGTAACGTAAAAATACTATACCGATTTCTAAAGTATTATCTTTACTCTCGAGTGCAACTTGATTTTCTATGATGTGTACATGGGTATACAGTTTGAAACAGAAGTGCCTTTTCATCTACCCTTTCTGTGTAAACATTTACCTTGTTGATCAGCTGGGTTGGTCGTCACGGATGGTATGTTGTGACTGTTCACAAAGATTCCAGTTTTATCGACTACACTCGTTCATAATTGATTTGTCCAAATTATTCGTAAACATGTGCCAAATCCTTGACACCCAACGTAATGTTTTCATAATGTTTATAACCTGTTTACTAAATTTACTTTCACTTTTTTTTTAAATATAAAAATAAATCCTTGCAAATATTTCCCCAAAATGTGTTTTGCACATATATTTATAATACTTACCTGTGGTGACAAAGCGTAGTGGTTCGTCACGGATGGTTTCATATGCCTGTGAACAATCAAATTTTCCCACCCATAATGGAATTGCCTAATTTATATTATACACGTGCTGGATTAACCGTGATGACCGACACCGCTATCTGATTTTACGCCAGTGAGGTTAAACATCACAAAAATAATCACTTACACACGAACGGTAGCTTTACTCAAAAGCAAGGCGGATACAAGAGAGCGAACAGTAACCATTACATAAATTAAGCCGGTGCCGGACTGGGAGTTCCGGAATCTGGCTCAAAGGACTCACCCAACTTAATCATTTACTATATGTTATTACCAAACATTTTAGCTAATAACTTTAATATTTGCAGTTCAAAAATAGTGACAACCGTCTAGATTCATAAATACATACCTTGCAAAGGCTACAAAATTACTTTTTTAGTAGGTTAAGTGGCATATTGGAGTGTCACAGCGCCAAGAAGTTGACAACCGGAAGTTTACAAGCAAAACCGGTGACCCGAAACAGAAACGCCCCCAGACATTTTGCCCCTGTGCAAATCCGCACAGAGACATAAAAATATATCAAAAGTATATATTTTTCAAAAATTAAATACCTGAACATTTCATTTATCTAAAAATCTGTCATCAGTTCCTTATTAAACTCCTTCAGTGGCCCAGTAATTAGCCGGAACTTATTTCAGATAGGAACTACATACGTATGAAACACTTGCTGATTGGCTGATTTAGTTGTGTGAGTCCTTAAAGGGAAATTTTACATTTTAAAATGATGAAATGAAGTAAGTT